CAGTTGATGAGTGGATAAACAAAATGTGGTATATCCATACAATGGAATACTATTCAGCCATAAAAAGGAATAAAGTACAGATGCATGCTATGACATATATGAACCTTGAAAATGTTATATTATGTGAAAAAACCAGACACAAAATGCCACATATTGTATGATTTCATTCATATGAATTGTCCAGAATAGATAAATCCTTAAATATAGAAAATAGATTAATAGTTGCCAGAGACTAGAAGAAGGGGGAATGGAGAGTTACTGTTAATAAGCATGAGGATTGTTTTGGGGCTGATGAAAATGTTCTGGAATTTGATAGTGGTGACAGCTGCATAACCTTATGAATATACAAACACTATTAAATTTTAACTTGGAAAGGGTGAACTTTATGGTATGTAAATTAGATCTCAATTTTTAAAAGTCAATGGTGACTACTGTAATTTTTTTGCCATTGAAAGTGCAACCTTGGAGCAAAGAAGAGTGTAAGGAGACTGTGTCAGAGGTTCAGAGACCCTGAAAGTACAAAATGATGAGTTACGTGTTTGTTTCCTGGCCCACCTAAGTCTCCCTCTGAAGTTTGTAAATCTTATGTCATCAAGACACTTCGTACTCCTGGGAAACACACAGGCTTGACTTCTGGTCATTGGGTGCCTGTATTGTTTTACAAGGCTAGATGACACTAAAACTGCCAGCAGAAATGGTATTCCATGTTTAGTCATAAAAATTCAATTGTTTCACCTGTCAAAGATGCCTACTGATGTCCTGTCTCGATGGGGGTCATAGGTTCGGGAGCAGATGAGCTCTGGAGTGAGAAGATCTGAATTCAAGTTCTGCTTCTATTATTTGTGTAACCTTGGTAGAGTTACTTAATTTTTCTAAGCCTCAGTTTTCCCTTTTAGAATAATACATGAATTATTTCCTCCTACCGTCCAATGAGATGGTGTAGGAGTCAGGACTCTTGATTGCAAGTTATAGAAATCCTAATCAAATTGGATTGAGTGAAAAAGCGAATTTCTTGGCTGATATAACTAAAATTCCTGGGACAGTTAGGCCTTAGGCATGACTGGATGCAGGAGCTCAGATGATATCATCTGGGCTCATACTTGTTCTGTCTGTCCTCATGCACTTCCTCTGGGTTGGTCTCACCCACGGGCAGGCCCTGCCTGGTGGTGGTTTGATGGTTCCAACAGCCACCACAGGTTCACATTCTAACTTCACAGCAGCTCCTCGGAAGGGGGAGGGGAATCGCAGGAAAAAACTCCATTTTCCTTGTCTCAAAACCCTGTGGAAAGAAAAGCATTCCTTTGCCTAGCAAAGTCTGAGCTCATTGGAAATTACTGAGATTCTTCCTTCCTGAACCAATTCTGTGGTTAAAGGGATGTAATATGCTACTTGGCCAGGGGCCCACCTCTCTCTATGAAGTAAGAATGAGGGAGGGTGCTTCCCCTTGGAAAATTAGGATGATGTAAACTGAAGAACAGGGATAGATAACAAGTAGGAGGAAGGAGCAGATGTTCTCTGTAGCACTATTTTTCAGACTTTTCATTATTACTTCAATTAAAAGACATTTTACATGAAGATCTGGTATATATGTATGTATTTATATATATAAATGAAACAACAATTTTACACTAAAAAACCAACCTCACTAGACACCATACAATGGACTCAGATGTTTTCTAGACCGTCCCATTCTAATCTGTTTCATTCAATCATCTCCTATTTCATTAAAAAATATAGTTTTCTCCAGTAATTTGATTTTAGAACTTACAAGTAATTTTTAACAAGTTTAAAAAAGACTTCTTTATAGGGAATACATGCAGAAGTACACCATAAATAATAAAGCACTATTCAAATGTTAACATAATAATATACACTAGTATTAATATGGGGTCAATGCCACCTTAATTTTGTAAATAGAGTATAAGAAAAAGCAAGTGGTACTGATTTGAAACTAAAAAGTGTTGGTGCAAAAGTGAGTATCCAAGGGCAGGATGTGTAGATTGACCAAAGTGCTGTTGGAATGGTGAGTGAAGTGCAGTTTAACCACAAGCAAGGGCTCATTGGAGCAGCCACGGACCTTCTCAATAATCAGACAACTGCTGTGATTTGGACGAGGCAAGAAAATCTAGACCAGAGCAGGTAAATAGCTTATTGCAGTGACTTGCAACATAAGAATAAAAATGAGTGATTTAGAAAACTCAGGCTCAAGTAGAGATCAAAGACCACAATGCAGTCTTACTTGGTGTGCCTATCACTTTGATAATGGCTATCACTCTCAGGGTTAAGGTACATCTGTAAGTAAAGTGAGGCAAAGTAACAGTGGGTTAAACAAGATCAAAGTTAATTACTTCTCTCTCACATAAAAGTATGGAGACATGTAGCCCAAAGCTAGTGTGTGTTCTTCCCCAAGAGGTCTTCAGGCACCTAGGTTTCTTCCCACGCACAATACTATGAGCCTAGAATGTGCCCTTGTTGTTGTAGTCCAGTACGATGGCTAAAGCTTCAGTCATGACAACTGCGGCTCAGGCGGCAGATAAAGGAGGTGAGGGAGGAGAGAAGATAAAGAAGATAGCCATACCAACCAACTGTAGGGAAATTTTCCAGAACCTGCCATGTTCCTTTATATCTTCTTGACCAGAATGTGGTGAAAAGGCCATATCTAGCTGTAAGGGAGCCTGGAAAAAGAACCCAGCTTAAAACCAGAGATTTTATTACTCTGTGTATTTAACTTATTTTGCAAAACTAATCAGCCCAAAATTCAGTGGCTAAAAAAACAGCCATTTTATTTAGCACATAATTTTCTGGGTCAGCTAGGTCATTCTTTTATTCTGGCCCAGTGACTGACTTTAGTTGGCACAATAGCTCTACACACATATGTGGCTGTTGGCAGGCTGTCAGCTTTGTTCACCTTCAGGTATGTTCTCATCATCCAGTGAGCTACCTACACCTCATTATATGGTGGCATCAGGGTTACAAGTACAGCAGAAGTGGGCAAGCCCTAATGGACAAGTATTTCCAGACCTCTGTTTGAGTCATAGTTGCTAATGTTCCATTGGCCAAAGTGGCTAACCTGATTTGGACAGTATAGAAGTGTACTCCACCTTTGGATGAGAAGGGAAGAAATTGTGCCTATTTGTTTCGATCTGCTGCACAATAGAATTAGAGAAGAATGGATATTTCAGGACAACCAGCAGTCTCATATTTTACTGTGAGAAATACTACACTACCGCCACCAATGTCTATTGCTACAGACTGGTTATGACTAACTTCCTGCATTCCATCTTCACCTGGGTGTATCCTAAGACATCTAAAATTCAACACATTAAAAATATAACTTATAATCTATCTCCCACACATAACAAAGTTAAACAAAGTTTGTCCTCCTACAGTATATGACACAATAACCCTTCCAGTTAGTTACTCAATCCAAATAGCTGGAAATCATCCTTGATAACTCCTTCTCTCTCACTTTCTTATATTCAAACTAAAACCAAGTTCTGTTGACTTCATCTCTTAAATATCTCTGGAATCCACCCATGTCCTTAATCTCCATTACTACTACCTTAGTCCAAGGGATCAGACATCCATTTTTGCCTCCTCCAATCTGTTTTTCATATCACAGTTAAAGTGATGTAAACATAAATTTTATCACATCACTCTCCGGTTTAAAAGCTTTCACTAGTGTTCTCTTATTCTTGGGTTGGAGATAAACACCTGACACATGGCTTGCAAGATTCTGCATGATTTGGCTCCTGCTATCTTCTCTTTCCTCATTGCAACATCTGGCTTCAGAGGAAGGCAGAATAATGCCGTTTTAAAACAATAATTCATGACCTGAGACTTGACCAACTGCTCCTTGGACCACCAACACCATCACTCTCAAAGGATTCAGTCTATGTGCTACAAGCTCACTGTAGACCCTTTTTGATGGGCACCTGGAAAGATGTTTCTTATTCCTTCAGGTGTTTCTCTTCTTCCTCTGGGCAAGGAAGTAAAGGAGACTTCCTTTGAGTGGTTATGGTAATGTGGGAATGCATTTCAGAGGTCCCCATTTGTGATTGCATGTAACAGCTAACAAAAATGGCTAAGTATTGAACACTTGTTTTATGTAGATGATATAATTGAAGCCATGCAAAAATCCCACGAGACAGAATTCTTGTCATTCCCATTTTGGAGATAACAAATGAAGAGGTATTAGTAATCTACTCAAGGATAATATAAGTAATAGTTATCAGACTCGGTTTCCAAATCTCAGAGATTTCAAATTACGAGTCTAATTTCAAGTCAAAACTTTTAACAGCATGCTCTCCTGCCTCTCTTAACTTTTAATATAGTGGTAGGGAGCTGGTTCAGTGCAAAGGGGCCCAGCTACACGTGTCTGAGTGTAGACGGAAGCATTGAATGGTGAAGTTGCTCCATCTGGCACGTTCAGCATAGAATCACCCAGACAGGCTAGTCTGAGGTAAAGGTCAAGTGAGGGAATCCACAATTGTCCCTAAGATAAGGATAGGGAAGAAAGATAAAGAGAAAGTGACAATGCTGAGCCAAAACAGAGGAGACTGGCTCAGAGGAGAATGAGGAGGATCCAAGTGGGTAACTTGGTGAAAGGACAGACTCTTTAGTCAGCAAGGAACTTTCTTTGTGTTTCCAGACTGTTTTGGGGGTTTTCTTCCTTGATGGCTTAGTTGTTGGATATTTTGGAAACTAATATTAAGTAAGGGCAGGTATCTTTACCCAGTTCTGATGTACCCCACCTCACCTGGGGCAGTCTGTGAGGGCTCTGCAGTAGGACTAGCCAGCAACTCTGTTTCCTCAGAAGTGAACACTATTTCCTCACCACAGGCATGTCCCTCACCTGCTCTAAGAGGGAGTAGCACTCCTGACCATTTCTGGACAGCGGCCCCTTATTTGAGTGGGGTGCCAGGACAATGCGACAGATTCACAATTGAGTGTACTACTATTCCAATACTTCTGTACTCAAAGTTCTAGAACCTGAACAAAAGACCCAGTCCCATTTAACGGCAAATTTGACAGTAACTCAGATGAAATTATTAATGTTTAGTAACCATTGGAAAACCATGAAGCTAGAGGAAGAAAAGATGTTAAAGTGAGGAACTAAAGGCAGCCTGAGTTGGTGCAAAAGACTGAAATTCTGAAGCTGAAAGTCGGGCAAGCATGGTATAGGGGCCTCACTGAACTGGAGAGTCAAACACACAAGAACACGATGGTAGAGTAGGAGCTGTGCAGCCACACTTCTGACAGAAATCTCCTCATTGGGCATCATTGGGATGTTCTGGCCCAAAATACAGATATCAATTTAGACTGTGTTTCTAGGTATGTATCCTCCACAGTGAGGGACATGGGTGGCTTTTCTTACCTTAAAGTAGTCTGAAAATGGAAAACCTGTGAGATTTATTTATTTATTTTTTAAGGAGATTGAGCTAGAGTTCCTGATTGCAGGCAAAGGGAGGAGATAAAGTAGTTTTGTTCAGGCTGGAATACCAACATTCATTTCCGTATCACTTTTTTATTTCCTTAAGGCTAAACACATCTGACTATTTACAACTAATTGCTAAGAATCAATCAATCTATCTATCTATCTAGAATTCATATCAATGATAAACAATATCAGAAGTGAATTGTTGACATCCAAAGAACATCTGTACTTAATTCGTATAACTACTTCGAGGAGGAAAGGGGCTCTGCAAGCACGAAAGTCAAAATTATATGATTGTAGGGATCTTATTTGCAAAGATACCATATTCTTTTACTTAATGGACTAGTGAAGGCCCAAAGGCCACTTTTTCTTGAGTTCCCAACTTGGGACTTTTTGCTTCCTTTGTGGCTCCTCTGTCCTGCTGGTGATGTTCATGGCACACTTGACCATCTGGTTGTTAGGCCTGGGTGTTATTATGCTACCATTATTCTCCCAGAAACTTCTTTAACATTTTTGCATTCTCCGTTTTGCTCATTTGTTCCCAATAGAGTAACAGCTAGACAAAGCAAGAATTGAAAGACAACAGATGGTGCATCAGGTAAGTGTTCTTGGCTGCAAAATCAACAAACCACCTCTGGCTAACTTAATCAGGAAGGGAATGCAGTGGAATGATATCAGGCAGCTCACCAACCAGTGTGAAGCCTGGAGACCAGGCCTGGGAAACAGGCAGGAACTGAGGCAGGGCGATCAGCTCACAAGGAACAAAATGTTATTTGGCCTTGCTGCCTGGACCCTTGATACTGCTGGCACCAAGGGTCAACTACAACCACATTCCCACAGCTCCTGCACGAATGCTGTCCTAAGCTGCCAAATGCAAGGTAAGAGCATCAGTTTGGTTGTCTTGTTTGGGTACTCACTCTCCAGTTGCCAGCAGACAGGGAGAAGGTCCATCTGGCCCCTTTGTCTCCAGAGAAGGTGGCTGGATATACTTCCTACCAATGAGCCACACACACCGGCGACTGTCCCTGAATAGGAAGCAGCATCAGAAAAGGGCTTCAGATGGACAGAATTGCTGCTGCTTTGCATTGATTTTGGCCTCTCTGTGTCTTACATCAGGGCTTGTGACAATTGAGATTTATCTTCAGATGGCCGAGGAAATGAAGTTGTCGCAGAGTCTGAAATAGGACTAGACCACAGATAAATATTAAGTGGACTCAACTATGAAGGATAGTAGGATTCTAGGGTGTATCATTCCAGGTACTTCTTGGAGAACTACTTTGCTTTATCCAACAAAATCTCTCTGTATTCCTTTGCCCTTCTCTATCAGTGGAGTTACTGAAAGTTGTGCTTCAGCTCACTTTCCCTCCTACTGGTAGCATGAAGCACTGAAAAGCCATACTGGCACATTCAACTTAGCCCCCAAAGTCAAAATATCATAAATTGTATCTATGGGCCATCTGATATTTAATGTCATTGATAGTTGTATATCCCTAAGGAAGCTTTATCTTGATTTATTACTGTTGCTATCATGCCTATTTTATTGCACATATTTATTGTAGGGCGCTCAATCCTTTGTAAAAATGTGAGAGGATAAGTGATTGAATATACTAACAACCAACTAGTGGCTAACTAGCAGACTAACAAATCATATAAATAAATAAAAATGTATAAAATTTTAAGTTTTGGCCTACCACGAAGCATGTCTGAACATACCCATGTAAGACTTTGCCCATTTTTCAACAATAATTGACCAGTTGTAACTGACCAGTTATTCTTGCTTCTTCTTGCCCAGGGATTCAGGTGGAAGGTCTGACTGCCATCACTCTGTCCCACCTCCTCCCCTAAAAGTCTTGTCATGACTAGGTATGACTTCCCAGCTTAGAGGAGAACACTCTCTATGTGCTATTATTTATAGTCAGCCCTTGTGGGAGAATAGTCCCCCAAAGTTTCCATGCTTTAATCCCGGGAGCCTATGAATATGTTACACTACATGTTGAAAGAGACTTTGCAGATGTAATTAAGGTTACAGACTTTAAAATAGGGAGATTATCCTGGCTTATCTGGATGGTCCCGATCTCATCACATGAGCCCTTAAAGCAAAGAACTTTCTTCAACTGGAGACAGAGAGATACTGCAGAATGAAAAGCTAGAGAGATTCCACGTGTGAGGTCATTGCTGACTCTGAGAAGGCGGGGCGTAGGGTCAGGGAGCAGAAAGAGATTTCAGCCCCCAGCTGACAGCCAGCAAAGAAGTGGAGACCTCAGTCTTACAACTGCAGGGAACTGAGTTCTTTGAACAACTTGGATAAGCTTAGCAACCAATTTTCAGAGCAAACTGATGGGAGCTTAGCCAGTGCACACTTTCATTTTGGCCTGTGAGACTTGGAGCAAAAAAACCTGCTGTGTCCATGCGAGATAATATGAGATATATATCTAACGGGTTTTAAAATGTCCACAGGCCTTCAAAGATAGGAGAAGTTTCTGAGCACACCCTTCTCTGTTAGAACAAGTTCAAATGAATTTCTCAGAGGCTCTTTGGGTAAGGGTCTATGGCTTGAAGCAAACAAAGTGAGCCTGAGGTGGACTGGAAGCCGTCTGGAACCTCTTCATTTTACTCATCACCATCAGTTGTATGTCAAGCTTTCAGTAGTTCATCAGGAAGATAGCTGTTGGACAGTGTGCAAAGATGTCCCTCAGGTAGGGAGTGAATGTCAGTCCTTGGAAAAGAGTGAAAGGAAATCCTCCTCATGAATAAAAATCTGTCTATGTAGATAGCATTCCCAATGTGGTGAAGAGTTATCTCCAAAATTTGGAGAGACAAGTTAAAAGGTGGGACCCATTAAAAAGATGAAAGTGTGAATAGTGATAGTGACCAATGTCAGCTACTGAGAAAGTTAAGATATTTTCTGAACACAGGCTCAGTGGCAGTTACATTACCTAGCATTAGGCAGCTCCCACATTCAAGTATGGACTTCCTGCCTTAAAAGCAGTAACCTAGAGTATCACCTTTATGAAGCACCTGGATTAAAAGTACTTAGAAGTCACAAAGTTACTCTTTACAAAGCATCAAATGGATTTCCTTTATTTTTTTTTTAATAAGGATAATCTGTGGACTACATGGTAGCCATCTCCATTAAATAGCCAGCTTTAAAAAGAGAGAGAGAGAAAGAAAAATCTTTGAAAACTTTACTTGCAATGTCTTTTCATTCTTTCTTTGATGTATTTGGAGTGAGGAGAATACATTAGTGCCTTTTAGCTTGGCAGCCAACTCTCTCAAATGTAAGTAAATGGAAAAGAACTGACTACAGTGTTTACTTCATTTTCAGAATTCTAATGTCAAGACTGTTTCCTCAAAAGGCCAAAAAAAGAAAAAGGTAGAAACAGTGCTGAAGTTCTAAACAATGCGTTTTCTTCTCTGGAGTGGTCAACTTCAATTAAATGGATGTTGTCATGCAGGAGAGTTTCTCAGGAACAGCAGAGATTGTTAATCCTTAGACCGCAAAGCACATGACCAAGGTGATGGCTAAACTGGTACCTGGTAGCTCTGCTGGAGATGGGCCTCAGGGAAAAGGGACAGAAAAGAGTTAGTCTTGATTCTCCAGCAAAGACTATGTGGTCTTCCATGGCCTGTTCTTCATCTCGGCAGACTATTAGATATCTATCCTCATCTACTCTCCTCTTCTCCACCAGAAATAGAATTTTTGCTGGTACATGACCTCCCACTTAAGATGAGATTTCTTAGTCTCTCTGAAGGTTAGAAGTAGTTAATTTTGACAAGCAGTCAAGTTTCACAGCTTAGCTATTACCCAGCCCGCAATCCCTTCACTTTTACCCATAGTTCTTTGCCCTTACCTAGGTCTATATGCTTTTGCCAAGTCATTGATCCAAAAATGATTAAACTTATGTTTGAGGAGGTCTGCTAGGCACCATCCTCTGCTCTGGGGATAGTCATGTGGACAACCCTTGAACACTCATGTGTTCCATGAGCTATTCTTTTAGGGTGGGTCAGCCCTCACTGACCATGTCAGGTCTTCTGAGATCCTCTGCTAATGTGTGTCTGCCCCTTCTGGGAAAACTGGTGGATCCTAACATTGGCCTTCTGGACATATCTCTACCTAAATAGCAACACTTGTGGTGGGAGTTTCAGGAAAATATGGCAGGACAGGTGGAGAAAATCATGGGTCCCAATGGGCCCTTATGGTGTCTCTCAAAGTACTATGCCCCAAATTGTTGTTTCCTATTCCTCTGTGAATGGAATTGTTTGAAACTCCCACTGATGTTTCAAAAGAGATATATAGGTTTGGAGGAAATCTTAAGATTTTGACAGTCTTCATCTTTATTGATTAATTAAAAGCAAGATTTTGCTTTTTATTAACCAGTTAATATTTGACTTAAAAATAATTTAAAAAAAGGAATTAATTCACAGACACAGGGAACATTTGGGTGGTTGCCAGAAGCAGGGGGTGGGAGGTGAGTGAAATGGGTGGAGAAGGTCAAAAGGGACAAATGTCCGGTTGTAAAATAAAGAAGTCATGGTGATATAATATAGAGCTTGGTGACTATAGTTAATAATACTGTATTGTGTATTTGAAAGTTGCTAAGAGAGGAGATCTTAAAAGTTCTTATTACAAGAAAAGAAATCTGTAACTTTGAATGGTGATAGATGTTAACTAGACTCATTTTGGTGTTCATTTCACAATATATACAAACATCGAATTATTGTGTTGTACACCTGAAACTAACATAATGTTGTATGCCAATTATATGCCAATTTTAGAAAAGGAATTATCAAAGTTAGTGAAAATATGACTGAATGCTTTCCTCAGCCTCCTCAGGCCTACCAAGTTTAGAAATATAATGCAATGCTTAAAATAGACACAAATCCTTAAGTTTTATGATGCCTAACTTTCAATAAAGCTGTTTCATGATTTTAAACTGGTCCTATATGGCAGAATGCATAAAAACGCTTATTTATGATAAAAATAAATGTTTTTAAACTTGGTTATGCAAATGCCTTAAACATTTAAGAATTCCTGATATTAAAAAAATCCAGTCTTAGAAAGAAAGGTGGTATATACTATTTCAAAAGCATTCGGCACAGATTTCTTTTATAGGGAGCTTATGTTCTGTTTCAATATTGTTTGATTTATAAAACTTAACTTACCGACGACTCCTGGGAATGTACACAGACACAGACTGTCCCCTAGAATTGAGAGTGAAGAATCTTCCTTCCATAAATAACTGCTTAACACCTTACAGGCATACACACCCACACACAATTTTATAGATATGGAGTTTGTTCACACAAAATTCTACAGGGAAATGGAAGCTTTTCCTACCTAGCTGGTGTAAACAGTGGCAAATCAGGAGAAGAGGTAGACAGATATCTTTACCCTGTCTGTTTACCCAGTGGAATGAGAATTCATTTACTTATTAGAAGTTTGTGCATATTAACTTTAAATTTACTTTAAGGAATATATGCTTAAAATATACAAACCATCCCAGTTGATCAATCAACAAATGTTTAACTGGGCATTCTACAGGCTAGGTCCTATTCTAGACAATGAGACTTCAGAAGTGAACCAGACTTACCTTGGTCCTAGAGCAGCAGGATTTTATTTTCTTGTCAATCAATTGCAGGGCTCAACAAACAACAGCAACAACAAAAAGGAGTTGACCAGAGTATAGCATCATAGGTGCACAGAAAGAAAAGTTTGAAGATCACCAGGTGTGTGTACCTTCCCATCCTAATTACGGAGCACACCCACACCTTCTACCTTTTTTCGTCAGTCAACTTCTGTTATTTCTCCTCTGCTTCACTCTCCTCTTGTTGGTCGCTCTCTCCCCATTGAAGTGATAATCTAAAACAGGAAACAGAAGTTAGTGCCGATAGTGAGACGACCAAGTGGGGGAAACTAGATTTCAGTTCTGTGCCCTTCATGGATAAATGGTTTGGTACCCTGTTGGAACATTTGGACAGCCATCTGAGCTGGGAGGGTGAGGAGGTCTTACAGACTGGGAGGATCATTCTGGCCTGGCCGGATGTATGGGGGCTGGGGGGTCAAGTGCGAGGGGCCTGAAGAGAGCAAACAACCCAAATCTGCCCTGGTATCTTTGGGATAAAGCGCATTTAGCCAGGAAAATGAAGAAAAGAGAGCCAGAAGGCCAGCCACTTTAGAAAACCACGGTGGTGAGGCAAAGGTGGCAGAGCAAAATTCCCCGTATGAAGCTAACATATGCAGTAGGTGGGAAGGAAGCAACAGGTCTCAAACACACGATGAGTCCCCATGCCCGGCTCCCAATGCCAAGCGCATAGTCAACTCTGTATCTGGTGCTAAAATCTTCTACTCGTGTGTGTGGGCTTTAACCCAATCTACAGTGATTTCAAAACAGCCTACCTGTTAGACTGCAGATGCTTCTTATACTGAATGTGTAAAAAGCTGCCAAAAGTAAAACTAACAACAGATGAGCCTTTATCTTAGGAATTATAGCATGTCAGCAGGTGGGGTTTTATTGATGGGAGTGCTAATAAACAGTAGGTAACGTGGAGAAGAGCCACTAGAGGCACAGTCTGTGACGTTTACCTTTGCACTGACCAGAAGGGAGGTGTTTCTGATTCTATGCAATTGGTGTTTGTTTTTAGGATGGAGACTGAGGGCAAAGTGAGCACGACATCGCGCTAAGCCATGAAGTCTCTTTTCTCCACTGGCATATTAGGAAGCACGTGGAATAAGATAGTACCTCTTGTTTTGTTGCTGCTGGTCAAATCGTGTGGTGGCTGTTATTTTGTTTATGGCACTCATTTGAGTTAAACGGAGAGAGAGACAGAGAGATTCTGTGATCACTCTCCCACCATCTCTCAGAGGAGGTCCCTACCCATATTCAAAGTGAGATACATCTGTTTACAAGGCAGGCTGAAGGCTGGTTGGAGGAATATTAAATGGCTATTGTCGTTCTCTACGGCAGAAGCTGGCAGCTTTATTTCCATCCAGCAGCCCATCAGGTCCTGTCATGTCAGACACGGTTATCACACATGTCATGGGTCCTGTAACTTGGAGAGCACCAATTCCACTCAATTTAATTGTGTTACTCTGGAAATGATTTCTCCTGACCTAGAGCAAAACGTATATTTGTGAATCTGTTCATCTGAATCTATCATAGGAACAAAGTAAACCGAATATTCCCCATGTTAATACAAAATTTTAATGACTTGAATAACCATCTCAGTGGTAAAGTGTTCAAGAAATCTGTCTCAAGTCAAGCTATGCGACTTTGTTTTTAAGCTGAATCATGTGATTTTTATTACTATTGTGTGAGAATGTAGTGCATATAGAGCGCACATATACCTATGTACATATACATGCCAGCCATTATGCAAGTATGAAAAAAATTACATCTTGGGGCCGCCCCAGTGGCATAGTGGGTAAGTTTGTTCCCTCTGCTTTTGTGGCCTGGGGTTCACTGGTTAGGATCCTGGGTGCAGACTTACACACCGCTCATCAAGCCACCCTGTGGTGGTCTCCCACATAGAAGAACTAGAAGGACTCACAGCTAGGATATACCACTATGTACTGGGGCTTTGGGGAGAACAAAATAAGAGGAAGATTGGCAATAGATGGTAGCTCAGGGTCAATTTTCCTCACCAAAAACATAAAAAGTAATTACATCTTGTTCTATTTTGTATTCCCCACAGCAGTTAATATATACTGTTCTTTATTGCTGTGTAGCAACCTATTCTAAAACTTGGGGGCTTAAAACAATGACAATTATTTTTCATGATTTTGTGAGTTGACCAGGAATTTCTTCTGTGCATGGTGTCACCCAGGTGATGAGATGGCTGAAAGGTCCAAAATGGCCTCATCCACATGCTTGGTACTTAATGCTAGCTGGGGTCTCAGCTAGGGGCTGTTGACCAGGGCCTCATTTCTCCTCCAGGCATATAAATAGGCTGCTTGGTCTTCCTTAAAGCATGGTAGTCTAAGGGTAGTCATCTTCTTATATGACAGCTGGCTTATAAGAGTGCAAAAGCAGAAGTTTCTAGGACTTAGCAAGGCTTTGATATGAAAAATCACTTCAGGCAGCATCACCTCTGCCATATTTTATTGGTTAAAGTAGATCACACGGCCAGCCCAATTTAAAGAAAAGTCCAAATATTGGGAGGTGAAGTCCACTAGGGAGCTTCTGAGACAAATATGTACGTACATCTATATCTCTACCTATCTACTATCTATCTATCTATCTGTCTATCTATCTATCTATCTATCTATCTATCTATCCATCTACCTATCACTCCAAACACTTCACGTGCTTAAATACGGTCTTTATTTTGTAAGACAAGCCTATTCAGTGTGCTCAATTTTCGATACAGGGCCTGATCTGAGAATGAAGAATTGAGGTATCCACAGACGATAGCATTTCAGAGGAAGAAAAGAATTTAGAGATCATGTAGTTAAACTTTCTTCTTTTCAGGAGAAAGAGCTAACCTATTACTTAGCACTATGTCCACTAGACTCAATGCCATTTACCTTGTTTTTATGACAATACTAAGCAACCATTTTGCATTGACTCGTTTGTTCTGACATCAAAGAAGTTGAAAAGTAAATGGTTGTAATGCCCCAGTCAAGTGGCACATTCACAATCTGATCGTTACTCTGGGATTTTGCTAACGATCTAGCATCTAAATTAAAGTTATTACAAATAAAAACTCTGATTCTAGAGGCAGATAATCAGGATAGACTTGATAACTATGGGAATTTCCTGGAAAAAACGGAAGGAAGCATGTGTTGAAGAGAACTCGACTGTAGGTAGGAGAGAGAATTCTCCCTGGAGATATAACTTTGTAACTGAATAAGAAAAAAATACATATTTTAAAAATTGTCAACAAACTTTAGTTCACTTACAAATTTTGTAAATTATGCATTTACAATATTGGATGTGAACATAAACGTTGTCTGTAGGTAAATTGATCTTTAAACTACTTATTTAATTTATATTAGTCCATTTCAACCTGTATTCTGTTCAGTGATCCCCAATGTACTAGACAATTTCCAGAGATGAAGAAAAAAGATATTTATGTCCATCCACAGGAAATTAGTTAAATTAATTACGATACATCCACAGGATTTACCATACAGTTTTTACAACAGAAGTTATTGAAGGATATTTCTAACAGTTTTATTAAAGCATAATTGATAAATAGAAAACTGAGCGGGGCCAGCCCTATGGCCAAATGATTAAGTTCACGTGCTCCGCTTCGGTGGTCCAGGGTTTTGCTGGTTCAGATCCTGGGCTCGGACATGGCGTCACTCATCAGCCCACACTGAGTCGGTGTCCCACATAGCTCAGCCAGAAGGACCTGCAACTAGAATATACAGCTATGTACTGGGGGCCTTTGGGGAAAAGAAGAAGAAGAAAAACATCTGAGCATATTTAACGTATACAATTTGATGGGTTTGGATATATGCATATACTCATGAAACCATCATCACAATAAGGTAATAAACATATATAGAAAGTCTTTAATACAGAAAGAAATGCTCAGGATAAGTATCTAGTGAAAAAAAGAGTGCTTAAAGGCAGTATGACATGGACAAACGCACAGTACAGTCCAATGTTTTGAAATAATCTTTGTGTATAGCAAAGAATGAAAACCGTTAATGGACTATTGTTGGTTTCTAGGCCCGAGGCAAATTTTTCCCTGTACTTTTCAAGTTTTTTACTATCAAGAGATGGCACATGTTTGTCAATATAAAAAAGAAATAAAAATTATTTGAAAGTACAGAAGGCTATCAATCTATCTGTCTGTCTATCTCTATCTATTACCATCTTTGTTTCTTGCCTGTTTTTAACTACCTATTTATTTTTCAACTCTTAATTTTTTTATATTTATGATGTTCCTAAAAGGCAGAAGTAGTCACATAAAAATTTTGTTTCCAAAGAATTATGTTGTAAACCATGAAAATTCTAGTACTGTGCATTTCATTAAAATCACCCCAAAGGACAAAAACTGGCAAATCTGAGTCCTATGGTAGCTTTTCCACAATGAGGAGATGGGCATATACAGAGAACCCAGTCCTGACCATTGCCCATTGCACCCATGGCATCATAGCATAATGCCATTTGATCCCAAGTCATCTTTGATCAATGTTTAATGATCAGAGTTTATGTAGCAATCAAAGACAACATGAAACAGCAGATATTTATAGCTTATGGCCAATTGAGGCTCTGCAAAAACAGCTTTTTCCATGGTGCAATACAGTTCAATTGATGCCATTGGCATTCCACAGCACACAGAAACATATCAAAGAAATTTGTTATGCTTTGAGCATGAAAGCAAAGTAAAACACAGATAATTTGAGAAACTAGAAAACTTATCAGGGCTGGGATCCACAGGCTGCCTGTCAGTTGGCAGACGCAGTGCCACGGAGCACTTGGCAGGACAGTGCATGCATGCAAATGTGGGCCCTGCGCGGTGACAGCAGGTTTTCCTCCAACTGGAGGATGTTGCTATTCAAGGGGGCTGATGAATGAAACCAGAATTGCATCAACTGCGGTGGAAAGGCGGACAGGAGCAGGAGACAGCTGCGCGGGTGACCGCTTTACAAGTAGAAGCTATCAATCAGAAGGCGTGAAAGGCCCAAATCCAGGGAAACCAGGATCCCACCCCCTTGATACCAATCCTAATAGAGTGCCAGTCACTGATGCAAATATGGGGCCGAGCAGCATGATGATAGTTCCTGCTTTCCCTGCAGAATGATCTCAGTGAAAGTTGGCCCTTGTCCTCAGTTAGGGACAATGCCGCATTGCAGCTGAGAATATTTTTATATGACAGCGATTATTGCTGCCCTATCTTGGAGTTGTTTAGGCCTATTTGGGACACTTCTTTAGGTGCTGGAGCGTTGATGGTGCCAGCCTTCACCCATCAGCCACTGAACTCAGGGTATCCACAAGGAAGGAGCTAAACCATGGGGAAGGAAGAAGCTTCTTTCTAAGGGAACAGGGAACAGGGGTTAAGAGCATGGCTTCTGGAGCCAAACTGCCTGGATTCAGATCCCCAGTATGATCTCTGAGAACGCAATTTTCTCATCTGTCAAATGGGCTAATAACTGGTTACAGAGATTGAACTCTAGAGCAGTACCACTCAACAGAACTATCATGGGTGCCACATATGTAATTTTCTTGCACCTGCATTTAAAAAATAAAGAAAAAAATGTGACATTTAAGTAATATTTTACTTAGCCAAGCCTGTTCAAAATATTATCATTTAAACTTGTAATTCATACTAAAACATTACTAATGGATCTGTTGTTTTGGATCGAGGCTTCGAAACCCAGAGAATATTTCACATTTATAGCACATCTCAATTCAGACTAGCCACTTTTCAAGCCCTCAATTAGCCATGTTTGGCTAGGGGCTACCATATTCAACAGCATAGCTCTACAACACAAGAGACATGATACTATTTACGAAGAGCCTAGAATTTTTGGAAACTAAACTAGTTAAAAATGTTCCACAAATTTAACAGATAATGTCCCTGAGACCAAGGCTGAGAAGGTGAAGGTTTATAATGTCCTCTGCTAGTAGAAGTAACATTCTCTTTAAAAAAAATGTCTAAAGACAAATACTCTGATGTTTGTAATTTCTAAAATTCAATCCATCTCTGTCAAAACTATCTGTGTGAGATAATAGGCCAATTATTTTTAGACTCTTTAAAATAATTTAGTAGACATAAATATACATGTGGATATACAACTGGGATATGAAAAAAAGTCAGCTTCAGCTATAGATAAATTATTAATCAATATGGAATGCTAAATTCCAGGGACCCAAGTGGAGTCATGAGAATGAACCACCCCCTTACCTTACAATGACTCTCATCTTGATCACCATTAGTAGCATTAATAACATTAAAAAATAAATACATGTATTCTAGAATGTTAATAATGATAATCTTGTCATCTTTGAAAATTATGAGACCCGGTTTCTCTGCACAGTGGGATGCAGATATTACAGAGAAAAATAATTAAAATATTAATTACACGTTGGATAGAGCATTGCCTATCATTATTATATTATCATTATTGTTGTTATGTTGTCGAATACTGCTTTATGCAGATTTTGCTTTATAGAGACTTTACCAGAAATAAAATCTTTTGTAATTTTCATATTTACTCTGTTAGGTAACACCAGCTCCCTGGGACATTAATGCATGATGTATCAGATGGAGACTATCAGATGCAGCAACCAGGAAATATATTAACCTGGCTTTGCTGTGGGCCTACACTCATTAATCTGAAATGTTGAGCATGTAGCATGTGTCCTTGAGTCAAACGGATGCCTGGATGGAAAATATGTGGAACATCCATTTTAGGCGTGCACTTGGTTAAGTTAATCATCAGTAAATGTTTGCATTAGGTAGAAAATACTGTAGACTCAGGTTTCACATGTCTCCAGCACCCACTTCTAGGGTTTCATCTATTTGTGCTATAACAAATTCCTCTGTTTTAGAAGCTGTTATGCACCTAAAGTGAAAATTGTGGCAGACAATATTATGGGAGATGTGGGTTGGTTCAATAAAGTTTATACCCCAATGCTTAGTTCCCCACTTCCCATCTAGTAAAAGGCAAAGCGGCTTATTGTTATGACTTCAAGATTTGACACCAGGGAAGCAGAGTGACAGCGGGAAAGAGAAGCAGAGCCTGTCCCCATCACCAACGTCTCCTGTCCAGGGAGAAGTAAGATCTTGTCCTTGATCTGCAATTTCCTGGCTCCACCCAAGCTTGAGGTTCGCTTGTGTAAAACAGGGTGCTGATCATACCTACTGCACAGTTGTGCAGAAAGCCCGGTGTATGATGTCCTTAAATGTGCATGTACCTTATCCCTATATCAGACATATCAGGTCATATTCTTCTGTGTCTTGAATATTTAGCTGCATGAAACTAGCCCATATTCATTTATTTGATCTTTCTTTCAACAAACATTCTATAAGGGTCCACCTACGTGACAGAGGGTCATAGGTGGTTAAGTTAGGAGGAGGACATAAGGTCCCTGCCTCCAGGGATCTCAGTCTGAGGGGGAGACAAACAAGAAAACTGGCCCCAGGCCATGGCAGAAGAGGTGGGCAGGGTTAGATCCTGCATGGCAGCGCTCCACCAGCGTCCGAGTGCATGAGGAAGCCCTGCCTTTTAATTTTGTGGAATGCAGAGGATAACGGGTATAGAAATCCTAAGAATGGTGATTCAGTCTCAGTTGCTGGATCCAGTTGCCTTTAGCTGTATGTATTGGAACTGTATGTAGGTATATATTTAACACACAGGCCAAGCCGTGATGGTTAATTTGCTTCTGTCTAGGATTTCTTTTTGAGGATCTCTACTTTAATGATTTCTTCAACTTATTTTTAATATCTTAGGTGCACATGGGAAGAGAATTGGAACATGTGATGTATTTCCTTCAGGTCTCTGCTTAAATGGCCTGTGAACAAAGAGTGCCAAACCACCCGTCAGAAACAGCCCTCCCTCCACTTGTGTTGGACTCAGCCTTGTGCCCTGCTTGACTTTTCTTCATAGCTACTGTTGCTGCCTGAGAATTAACATACCGTTTGCTTCTCCCGCTAGACCATGAACTCAGGGAGGATGGGAATTTATCTGCCACTGTACTCCCAGAGCCTAAGATAATGCTACCATGTAGATGGCTCCCAATAAATATCTTTTGAATGAATGACTGCATGAAGAAATGAAACAGTCCTTGAGGAAAGAATCCCACATGTATAGGGGACAGCACTTGGATGTCGTATTAGAGATGCTCAGGTTTTAATCCTGAGTCTCTGGCTTTCTAAATGTGCAGCAAGGTGCATATTACTTCCCTTTGAACCTCAGTTTTCTTATCTATAAAATGAGGGCCTTAACTATCATATGGACTATCTCATTTGGAAAGTCAACCCATTTAATTATCTGAATGTATATTACATAATTGGTTAATTTTGGAAGCCATTGTGAGAATTAGGTGAGATAATACGAGCAAGACCTTGGAACAAGTTATGTGTCTCTCCAACTCCAGGCATTATATTTGGGGGGATTTATTTATTGTGTTTACATAATTTTTATGTTTTCTAAATGATCTTTAATCAATATGTGCTAATCAAATAAATGTTTGTTTCAATTATGGAAGCTTAGAAATATCTTTTCAAACAAATTAACTAGGGAAAAATTCATACTTTCAAAGACTTTTCAGGATCCTACTGGCAGCATTTGATCCTCAAAAAATATTTTCTCTATGTTTAGTCATCATCTAAGTTTTCATTTGTTTTTCTGTTTACCACTGAGTCTATACCTCTAATTTTCTTCTTTCTCATATTTGGCTACTGTGGAGCTTCACAGAAATTGAAAAAAAAAAATATCAGGAAAGGAGTTTAAATTCAAAGTAAATTTCACTCATTTTTTTGGTCAGATATAATGCTCATGAAGCAGAAGTAGTTAGAAGTATTCGTGATACTTTGGGGTTTAAATTTTGGATCTTTTTGTCTGAATTTCAGGTACTTGAAAATTTTCAACAAGTCCCAAAGTGGTGTCATCTAAATTCTGAAGGTGTGGAGCATTCTACCAAATGGTCAGTCCATTTCAATGATTGAGACAACTGATCATTCATTGGAAACACAGTCCCACGTAAATCAGCTCTTTGACTCCATTGGCCTGTCAAATGAGTCTCTTTCTACAGTGTCTGTTTTGCAAATGGGAGAGAAATTCCAGCAGAGTCAGGGCTTCCCCCACTCCATTTCAGCCTTGGTTAAGATGGGCGAAGGCACTGACCTGAGTCTGTTTGTCAGAAATCCCTGAGTAGAAAGCCAGGGAGTTAAGAGAGCTGGTTCTGATTAACCTATATGGAGAGTCCAATGTAAATGCTATTAAAACCTCATTGAATGGTATAGGAACTGATTACTTACCCAGGGAGTTCTAAGTAAATCGAAGCAAATTGCCTGAGATTTAATTTAACAAACATTTACCAAGCATCTGCTCTGTTCACAGCGCTGTGCTTGGAGCTGTGGGAGACGCAAAGATGGAACAGACGTGGGCTGCCCTCCGGGGGCTCACGCTCTGTAGAAGGAGCACCCCCCGAAAGAGCATGAATCTTCAGCTGTAGCTTGGGAACATTTTACTCACTGATCAAAATGTGGGGCAGATTGTTGAGGGTTTGTGGCATACAGCTAGAGATCCACTGACCTGCACAGACAACTGTAATAAATGCCAGCATGTCTCGGGTGCTGGAAGGACCATATGGGAGAGAAAAAATTCCCCAATTCTGACTGAACTTACCAAGGGGCCCTTCTTGGAAGACGTAGGTCTAAAAGACCACTGGGTTTTCAACAGGCACATACTAGAGAGAATGATTTTCCAGCCATGGGAAGAGTGGCTGAGTAATACTAAAACATAGTGATAAGGAAGTGCTTAACTCTGTGCCAGGCATTGTTCTAAGCCCTTTACATGTACTAACCCACTTATTTTTCACATGAACTCCGGGAATAGGTACAGATATGATCCCCCTTTTACAGATGAGGAAAGTGAGGCACAGAGAGGTTAAGGAACTTGCCCATGGTCACTCAGCTAGGAAGTAGGGGAAAGAGATGCTATTCTGTTCTTTATCATATTGCTGTGCTGCCTTTTAAAACCTTGAAGTAGGAAAATTCAGGGTGTATTCAAGCTTCTGTGCATATATTGGCAGGGTTGGAAGACAGCTTCATGGAGGTTTATAAGAGGTGTGGTTTGAAAAGTAGGTAGAGAACAAATGTGAAGATTTTCTGTAGAAAATGGAAACCACAGAGACTGTGGACAGATAAAGTCTCTCTTTTAGGAAAAAAATATTGTTGGCTGAATGTGGAATGTAATAGAGGAGAAAGATATTAAAATAAGGGAGGGCAATGATTAGGTTTTTGCAATAATCCAGATGACAGATGGGTAACAAGGGACCCAAACCTGTGGCAGTGGGGACAAAAAAGAGGGGACCAAGAAAAGAGACATTGAGAAGACAGCCTGTTGCACTACCACAGAAGCCTTTTCTTGCCCCACAAAGTGTTTTTGTGCTTGCTGCCTAGACGAGGGCAAAACCTATTGTTGACCAAACATGTACCGAATCAACAGCCCAATGTCGCAAGTCTCAGACAAAACGCTTGGGCTAAGACTCAGTCCTTTGTAGCACAGTCTGAAGCAACTTCCAGAACATTTCTGTAAACAGCACTGCACACACCCCTATTAATGCCGTGGTCCCAGGGTACAAACTTGGGAGTCCAGCCTTGTTCAGATGCTTCTGAATTCTGCGGCTTATGGAGAAAAAGAAAAGAGAAGAACCAAAAGTTAGTCTAGTCACTTAAAATTCTAGATGTCATGATCCTTAAAGCTTCTTTTTAGTTCTAATTTTCCAAATGTTTCCAAAGCTCGTGTTTATATGGGTACCAAATGAGTTAAAATTTTAAGCACATTTCGTTCCACGATCATTTATGCAAAATGTTTTCCCTAAAATGTTAGATCGTCAAATGATAGCACAGTCTGTTTTCTTGTTAGTGTCTCTATTAAAAATGGCAAATCGACTTTAAAACAAATGATACCTGAGAATGTATTTTAACTTCTATCCAGCAGATAGGAGGTTTGAGACCCGCATGATGCTGCTGGGTTAAGCAGTAGTTGTGCTGCAAGTACTTAAAATGGGAACTTATCTGGATAACTTTTGATATTATTATTCCAACAAGACACTAGAACAATATTTTTCAAATGATGGCTATTTGAAACCACCATTGGGAGAGTAATAAAAAGGCCATGGAAAGGAAACTCACATTACAGGTTCCAGAATCCCAAAGTTGCCCAAATGGTTTCATAAGGGCAAAACTGCCATTACAGACCCTGAATTACTCTGGTCTGTGCTTTGGAGTAACCAGGCTTTAGTATGCTGAAGATGTTGTTTAAAGGCTTCTGGGGTCACTGCAGATATTAAAAATTGGTACAGAGACACCAGACTACTAAGCAGGCAATGGCAGAAGGGCTCAGACAGACTGCAGAATTCCTAATAATTCAGAGGGGGTTGTCAACAGCATTTTTAAATACAGAAGTAACACATCCTCATCTAATTAGTGATACATTTGTGCGAAAAATTCTCCAGCGTCCGTCTCAGGGTTTGGTAAGCCATGAGGAAACAGGTTCAGTGTGCAAGGAAAAGCATTCTAATGGCTACCTTGATGGTAAAGTAAGCTCTCCACTGAAGTTATAATTACAATTTTGCCAAGAGAGTAGGGAAGTCAAAGTTTCACAGGGAAAAAACCTATTTACGGAAAAATAGTATGCTTTTCATTTGATAGAAAAGTAATTATTGCAAAAGGACTCCAGGAAGATCTTAGAGACAGTCACCCCCTCTTTAATAAGTCCTTGTGGCAGCTAAGTGGGGATCAGGAGTATTCTTCATCAGGTTTGCATTCAAGTAGCACTAAATCTATGCAGGTAGGAATTAAATAGTATCTGAGTTTAATTAAAATTATAAAAAAGGAGAAGAATGGTTGGTAGACTGCTCGACTGCATTTTAACCAGTAACCTCAGACCCTAATTAGAAATGCTTTTCATATCTTCTCTGTGCAAGGGCTTAATCTGACGTGAGTCTGTGAGCGAGGGCTTGGGGACTGGTGTTAATTCTGCATTCGATCTCGGTTTGTATGGAGGCGGGCGGCGCTGATTGACCGCGCCGAAGCACGGATCCCATGACCTTGGGGGGATTTTCATGTGAGGTGTTAATTGAGAGGGTGGGTTAATCTTTGAGCATCATTGTCCCCAAGCTCTGGGCAAAGTTTGTGCTTCGTTTCCTTACTCAACAGTACATTTGATCTCTACCTTGTCCCTCCATGACAGTTTCGTAAGCCCACCACAAACTCTCTTGATAAATTTGTTGGGGGAAGATAAGCTCTTGCCCTCTTGTTTGATTTCATGAGCTTGTTTTTGTGCCCAGCTCAAAAGGGAGAGGAGTGTCTCACTGAATTATATTCAATTCCTACTTAGAGACAGATAAATGCACACACAGTAAAGATCTCGGCTTCTCCTTCCTGCCCCTCTGCCTGCGACTGCCCCTCCCCTTCCTTGCATGGTTCAGGGAAGAAAAGAAAAGACTCATCCATTGGGAGATGAGCAGCATCAAACACAAGAAATACGCAGGAGGCAAATTCGAAGGAAAGGTTTCAATGGTATTCCATCGGAGTGGCGTAAAAATGTTATTTTTTTATTCCTCCAGTGCAGAAAGCCTGGAGTAATTAGAAAAGCAGGGAGACATAGGAGATAGTACCTCTGTAACAACACACACACACACACACGCTAGAGTTTTCATCTGGCACTTATGTAAGTTACAAAACGACAGCGCATTACTTTTGCTTTTTTATAGTAAATAATGAATGACTTTTTTCATGTGTTATCGTACAGGCCTGTCATTTCTATCGTGAAGAGTAAATTTTTACTTGAGGCAGGATTAATGTATACTGGCTGACCTTAAAAATGACTCCCAAGTGAGCAGGATTGTAGTTAAAAGAAGCAGAAGTAATGATGCTCACACAGTAAACACGGGGAAACAACAATGATTTTAAAAAGAAAGATTGTAAAAAAGCACAAATGTTAGCTGTCCTTGACATGCAATGCATTTCTCTTATTTGTTTCATTACACCAGCTGTAGATGAGTTTAATTACAACACTTCGAGACCCTTGCTAGCACCATTACTGAGAAGCTGGGAGAACTCCGTGGAATGGTGCATGGTAATGGGTAGCCACAGACCCCACCCAAGGGGCTGAAGGGAAGGGAGGGGTTGTCTCCACATCTGATCACACAAAGGGTCACTGTGCCTTGCTGGTGGAAGGCTTCCTCCATCACCTTCTCTGACTCTGCAAGGCAAGGGTGCAGAAAGAGATGCAGAGGCCCAGGCTGCTGGTCCATAGAATTGTCACTTTCCCTGGCTGCAACAAGAACAAGATGCAGCTACTGCTCTAGCAAAGCATGATCATCTTCCCGCCTGAGACTGCCCCTCCAGCCTCCTGCCTGCACCATGCCCCCTTTTCCAGACTGGCTTTCAATTATTTTGAATGGTACATTAATTAATATGAGATAAAAAAAATCTCTGTTATTTGAATTGAGTTCATTTCAAAGAATATTGATAAAGTAATATTCATCCTCATCCTCATATTAATAAGTTAATGACTTTAACA